CGGGTCGCGACCAGAGTCGCGGAACGAATTAAGTTCGTGAACCGAGGTACCACTGTACTTTCAGGCTGCATGTCAACATAAATGTCATCTGAATTCAACTTCTTGCTACTTACACTTCAAGAAATTCCTTTTAAATGACAGTCCGAGGCTGAAATCTTGATCATCTGGGGTGCAGCAGCATGCTATTGCTCCCTATTTATAGGGATTCTTTGAAGGTTCTTCAGACTGTGGGGCCTCCAGCTTAAACCTTGTGATGCAGATGTAGCAGTATCAGTGTCTAGCTCAGTTTTCTTGATATTGACAAGCAACAGTAGCTTTTACAGTTTCAGCAGGTGCTGACCATGTCTGGGTTAAAAGTCAAGAAGGGTTGGACCTGGCTAGTACTTTGATGGATGACCACCAGAATGTCAGGGCTTCATATCAGAATATGGCAATTAAACTCTTCCTACTCTGCATTCCTAAGCAGGCCCATGCAATTTAGAATGGTACATTTATTGCAGAGAATTAGGAAGCTATGCATAAAAATAAGTTATCTGCCTAACAGCAACCCAGAATCCTGCCTTCTATGTAAGTTGTTTACATCCCATGCCTCTTCTTCCCACCTTTGTGAATCAATAGCCATGTTATTGCTCATTTCCTTTTCTTTGAAGGTTTCTACTATATATCCCTTACTTACAAAATGGCTTGCTTTGGTGTGAGAGTCAGAGATTCTTGCCTTAGCTTCAACACTTACTCAAAGAATTCCAGGGATATTGGGTAGACTGGGAAGTCAAAAACCTTCCCAGAAAGGGAGGAAAGATGGCAATAAGACAGTACACTTCATAAACAGCTCCTCTTTAATAAAGCTTAGAGAAAGACCTTCACCTGAGGGAGGATAAAAAAAGGCAAGTTTTCTGTTCCATAAAGCAGACTCCCAAGAGCCAATAAATCATGGAGGCCTGCTGGATCAAGGGCAGCTTTATCTAATTAGTCCCTTCTAGAGAAGCAGTCAGATGGACTTTCTGTCTCTTGCTTCAGAGAATGGAACTATACGCAGTCTAAATGAAGTTCAGAGTTCTATTACATTGCTATAACCTCTGTAGAAACTCTTAAGACTCTCTTCTCAATATCTGACAAGGAATTCCAAAAAAAATGCCTCTTCTGCTTCCATATCTCTAACTTATCCGTCAGATGCCTTACATTCTATTTCTTCCTAGCATTTTTCCTGCAGGAACAAAGTCCACTTTTTTTTTTCAGACCAATGTTCATCCATTGATTGCAACAGGAATTGACTAACCAGCTTGTCTTCCAAGCCTGACATTGTGGGCTGAGAAAGAGTGACTGGCCCAAAGTCACCCAGCCAGCTTTCATGCCTAAGGCGGGTCTAGAACTCACAGTCTCCTGGATTCTAGCCTGGAGCCTTAACCACTAGACCAAACTGGCTCTTACACTCTCCTGCCTTTCATCCTCCTGTCAGGAAAAAGAGGCGATGCGCTATGCCACTAATTCAGTTTGTGACTCAGGTAAGATCCCTTCCGCTTCATCTTATCTTTATGATTGCCCCATAGCCTGCAAGAAGAAAAATTCCACTTTGCTCATTGACTTGACAGTGGCTGATCCTGAATCAGGCAGACACCTTCCCACTTCTAACATAGCCGTCTCTGACTCTTTTAGTAATAAATGTATCACTGTCTGCCCAGCCGATCAAATGTCTAGCTAGACCCCCACAAATGGCCTATCAGAGCTCCTTACTAGAAACTCCACAACACCACTGGATTCCTCTTTTGCACTCGCAGAGTTACCTTTAGCTTGTGACCCCCATTTTCACCAAGATGTTTGCCTGGCTTTATGGACCTGATTTTACAGACAGGATACTGTATCTGGGATGAGAATCTTCTCTTGTTACTGATGATACTTCAGGTATCTCTAATATCTCCCCCAGCCCTGAGACTAAGCATGGCTGGCTGGGGAATTCTGGGAGTTGAAGTCCACTCATCTTAAAGTGGCCAAGTTTGGACAACACTGCCTTAAGCTAATGATCACTTGCTTTAAGGAATATGTCAGTCCAAAATTTACTCCTTCTTAAAAGACAACATAATTATTATTCTTAAGAAAAGATAAACTTTGAAAGAGACACACATCCATTCTCAGTCCAGGAATCCAACTCTTTTCTGGCAAACAATTTCATCATAGTCAGTACCTTTCACTCCCTGACCCTTCTTTGTCATTCCTGCTTCTGTTTGGAAGGACCAATTCTATATTCTTTTGAGGAGTCCTTCTCCCTGATATGGGACTGGATTTTGAAAGAACTTTTTATGGCCTGTCGTGTCAAGCTTTGAGATCACTAGCTTAGTCAAACAACTAAGGTTAAAGCACCAGGCAGCAATTTCATCATTGTGGAACTCTATAATAATTTGGACTGGTGGGCCCCATCATGCCCTCTCTTTTTGTCTTTATTGATAACTAGACAACCGATGACCCATTGCGTAATCATTTTAGAGATACTTGCTTACCTAAACAGAGAAACAGAATGACCCAGGGCGAAAAAGCAGTTGGAGTAGGAGTAACTTGTGACTTGCTTGTGGCTTCTCCATTGACTTTGCTTGTGGGAAGTTGTCAGGGAGTGTCAGAAATCAATCCTTCCTTCCTCCCTCCCCCCCTCCCTTCCTAATATACTATAGGCTTGTGCCATTTGCCCTCCCCTCATGACCCTCAGGAAAACCCCCATGAAGCCGCCTCCTCAACTGACCCACAGAACTGCCTGCCACTTTGCTGGGGGGAGGTGGAACAAAGGGAGCCGTGGACCATGAGGAATACTGCATCCCTACTTCCCTTTCCACCATGTCCCCAAGGGCCCCCTCACTCAAAGAGGGCTCACCTGTCAACCGCTGGCACCCCCCAGCCACCCCTACCTTGCCAGCAGGCACCCAAGTTGTTCCCTCATCCTTCCCTCAACACCCACCACTGTTAAGAAATTTCAGACTTTGGCCTTGGTTCCAAAGCAGTCAATCGCCACTCTCCCGTTGGGCCTTGCCACCAGCCAATTGGGCACAGGGGCCAGAGGGAGGCGAGAAAAAAGTCGGGGATGCCTGCCTGCCTGCCTGCCTGCCTTTTTCTCCCTCCATTTGCACATATAATATAGGCTTGTGCAATTTGCCCTCCCCTCCTGACTCTCAGGAGAACCCCGGTGAATAATACTCTTCCTCCTCCTCCTCAGCTGACCAGCAGAACTGCCTGCCACTTTGGGGGGAGGTGGAACAAAGGGAGCTGTGGACCATAAGGAAAACTGCACCCCCATTCCCCATTCTGGCATGTCCCCAAGGGCCCCTCCCTTGAGGGAGGAAGAAGGCTCACCCATCAACCACTGGGACCCCCTCCAGCCAGCCCTATCTTGCCAGCAGGCATCCAAGTCACTCCCTCATCTCAATGCCTACCACTGTTAAAAGATTTCAGATTTCTGCCTCATTTCTAAAGCAGCCAATCGCCACTCGCCCATCAGGCCTTGTCACCAGCTGATTGGGTACAGGGGACAAAGGGAGGTGGGAAGGAGGTTGGGAATACACCTTTTGAGGTACCTTGGTTCAAAAATTGTTGCCCTATCACACACCATTTTGCCCAGTTGAAGGTTACAGACATGAAAGTTTTAGTAGTATATAGATAGGGTTAAGATTCTACCTGACTAGAGTCTAGCCCTGGTAATTCCTACACACAGAAAGGGAGTAGAGATATATCTACTGAGTATTGTCCCATAACCCTCCTTAGTACAGTCAGCAAACTGTATGCTAGACATTTCTATAAATCACTAGTCTGGATTACAACTGAGAATGTCTTGGCTAAAGAACAGGCAGGCTTTTAAGCAGGCCATTCCCTTTAATTCTACAACATTTAGTAGAGATGTACACCCTCAGAGCACATTCAGTGTTTTTTGTGGCCATTTTCTGCACAGTGTTTAACATTGGGCACAAATAATAACTGCAAAGATGTTGGAAATGTGCAAGTAATGTCTATGGAAACTTCCAAAACAAGGAAGTGGGGGGAAAGGAATAATAGTGCAAGTAGCCAGAAGAACAGAATGTTATGGGGAGGTATGATTTCTAATTTGGAAGGGTTGTCAGACAGAAAAAAAACCACATTTATTAGCTAGCCAATGGATAAGAAAAGCACAGCAGTAGATTTCAACTGAACATGTGGAGAAATGTGTTAGGATTCCAACTTCTAGCCAATTCTGAGCCTTCCAACTCTAACATTATGTGATATCCAATAGGCAGGATTAGATTAAAGGTATTATGAGCTGAGAGGACTGGTAATTTGGAATCTCACTAGCAGAGCCATTTTTTCAAGAGTTCCCCAGTAAAATATACTTATGACTAAATCTCCTGACATACCCTTCTTTGTAAAGCTGAGACCTCCTACCAAGGCCTTCTCCCTTCAGGGCAGCGTTAGATTTTAGAGCTTGCCAAGGCATGGCAATCAATCTCTAGAAACTCAATAAACATTCAGGAGCTAGCAGCATAAGAGGCAAGGACCAGGCTTGGATAAATAATCTGCTTTTATTGTAGATGCAAGAAGCCCTTGTATTTTTGAAGGAAATATGTTGGCAGCTTCTCAGTAGCCTTCTTGGCACTTCCACTAATATCAAACTGCCTGACAAGGTTGTCAGTAAAATCTCATGTTTGACTCTTGAGTCATTTTTACATTTCCCAACCTCTTTATTAATTGTACTTTTTATACAACTTGTAAAGATATGCATTTCCATATACAACTGACTGATGTTAAGCTCTTAGAACCTGATACAGCTTCAGTAGATTTGTTAGCTATAAAATTAGCGTCTGACGCAGGCATGACTGTGGTGTGTAGGGACACTGAGGAGATGCTTATGATACTGCTCTTAATTCTTTTCCAGATGACAGGGTGAGAACTGAATGCCTGCAGATCCACTAGCTTCTGGCACATGCCTTCCCAAAGTGTTAGTTGTCATGAGGTGTTCCCTGAAACGTTCACTTGCAGCAGCCATTTCTCTCCTTGTGTTCCTGCTCATCATTAATCTGGCTTCTTGGCCCCATGAAGATCTTGAGCTGGTGAGTGTAACTTAACACATTTGCTCCATATGAGAAAGAAAAAAGAAAGAAAAGAAAAGCTATCACATCCATTCTATTGAGTTCTTGCTCTGTTAGAAGTCCCAAAATTCCTTCATAAGTTTTGAGTATTTCATAGAAACTGTTTTAACTAAATTACGTTCTCTCTCGGATTCAAGTTCTCTCTTTATTTTCATGCTGATTATCCACTGTATGGGGATAGAGATAAGCAGCCTAGAAATTAGCAGCGCCTTGTTAAAACTTTTTTTGGCAGAAGATCAAGCAGAATGTCAATGCCAATCAGTACAAAGGAATAAATGATGGAATTGACAATTTGCTGCCTGGCGTTCTCTGGACACTCTGCTGCTGAGGTCATGAAAGCACAATGTAGGGCTGTACTGTTTTCTTAAGGCCCTGGCGTTCCATCCAGTTTGTTGCCACTACGGGAAGACAGGTCTCTATCCATTTCTTTGAAGTCCATATATAACATATATATTATTTCATTTTTACTTAATCTCTTAACTCTTAAAAAAAATAATTACACTAATTGTGCACTATCATTACCCTAAAATCCAGTTTTTTAACTAAAAAGTGTGTCACAAAAATTGTATGTATGTGTATGCCTTCAAGTCAGTTTTTGACTCCTGGCAACTGCATGGATAAGTCCCTGCAATTTTCTTGGCAAGGCTTTTCAGAAGTGGTTTGCCATTGCCTGCTTCTTAGGGCTGAGAGAGAAAGACTGGCCCAAGGTCACCCAGTTGGCTTCATGCCTAAGGTGGGACTAGAACACACAGTCTCTTGGTTTCTAACCTAACACCTTAACCACTACACCAAACTGGCTCCACCAAAAATTGAAGATGCAAAAATCCAATCAGCAATTTAGTCTAAAAAATGCAAATCTAGTTGGTTCTCTTAAAAAATATGGACTGAATGAAATTCTCAAGCACATCTACCTTCTACCTTACCATGGCAGGAGAAACTGTTTACAATCAGAGGGTGAAGCAGTGACAAATATCACCACTCATAGGGACTTCTAATTCCCTATTAGGTACTGCAATACCATATTAAAATAAATCTCCAGTTCTTAAGAAGAGTGTTCTTATTCCACATATCTGACTAGCCTGATAAAGGAGTCTTGCAGTTACATAGCCACCAATCTGATATTTTATTGGATTACATGGAGGAGGAGTTAGCTGTATTCAATGGGATGGAAAGCAGTTTTTCCTTTATCTAAAATGAAGCACTCCTGCAGAATGCAACGAAAAGCATCATCACAGTGCACATCCTATGAATCCTGTCTCCCCATTTCAGGACTTGGAGGTATTGGGGGTACACAGAAAGAAGGGAAACATTGGCCTGTAGTTCTGTTTTATTTGTAGGGTAGGATGGACAGGTGCCAATGTGAAGTTTTCAATTTATTAAGATTTGTCCTTCCTCAGCCTAATTTTAGATAATTATTTTTCCCCCAAGCAGGCAGAAATGAAAGCATAGAAAATTTTGATTGGTACCAAGTATGTCTCCACTCCACAAAGAAAAAGAAGCAGCAGACACAATTCTAGTCCTGGATGTTCAGAGTGAACCAATGTCCTTGTTCTCCAGATAATCACATGAGTTACTCTTTATTTAAAAATAAGTTATGTCCTTAAGATTTATTAAACTTTTGGAAGCTCAAAGGATTTTTTATGTGTCACTGTTGGCCGTATTTAGTTTCCAAATCCAAAGGCACAGATCTATCTAATTTTCTTATCAGAAAAATAATTGTAATAATGCTTGTGATAATGGAAGATGATGACAAGACCCTGCTTTATTGACATCATTTCATAGAGATAGAGAGCTACTGCACTAAATTGGTGAAAGTTTATTATTATTGCCTGTTTCTGCACAGAAGAATGTTCAGAACTGGGCTCGATCAGTGGGTGTGCACGAAATTGTGGCTGACTGGACTTTATATAGCCTTCAAACAGTTACCAATACCACGAACGTCCTGAATATCTCTTACCGCTACCTTGCTGGCATGGCGCCACTCCAGAAAAGTGAGTACCAGCAAAAGGCAGATCAAATAGAGTCAGAACTATTTAGATGTGGGCCCCGAAATCCATGGACCCGCTTAGAAGTTCAGTTTCTGTTTAAAGCTGTTTAACAGAAATGGCATAATGGACTGAATAGCTATAAAGATAAGTAGAATCTATTTTAGGACAGCCAAACAGGCAGGCCTTTGTGATGGCTAAGATCTCTAAAGCAAAAACAGATATCTGTTCCTGCCTTTAATCCAAAAACTACTCCAAGAGAATAGTAGGCTTCATACCCTTTTATTTCTGTAGACAGGACAACTACATAGCTTTTCTGCCCAGTGATAGCTTCATACTGCCACCCAGTGGTGTAATAGAGTTGGAGGAGCAGAGTGTATAACCACAGATCTTTCCAAATAGAGAAGGAATGGGGCTGTTGCTATTGCTCAGGTCCTCTTCTCATTCCCTGTGGTTTCAAGGCAGAGGATGCAGTTGGCTGGTGCATCTCATTTCCAGCTCAGTGGTTCTTTTGCTAATTTGTCTCCCCTGTCTCCTATAGCAATCATAATGTTGGTTATATCTCAGAATAGTTAAGGAGAAGAATGGTTGCAAGCAGAGGAACAGGGCCTGTACTAAAAGTTATATTCCCCCCCCCTTTTTTTTTTGGTGCCTTCAAGTCAGTCTTGACTCCTGGAGACTGCCTGAACAAGTCCCTGCAGTTTTCTTGGCAACATTTTTGGAAGTGGTTTGCCATTGCCTCCTTCCCAGGGCTGAGAGAGAGTGACTGGCCCAAAGTCACCCAGCTGGCTTTGTGCCTAAGGCGGGACTGGAACAGTCTCCTGATTTCTAGCCTAGTGCCTTGACCACTACACCAAACTGGCTCTCTTATACCTTTCCTGCTGCCTAAGAAATGTAAAAGAAGCAGGGGATGATCTCTGATTTAAGATGGATCAGCAGTACTTCTGGGCTGTGTGTCTGTGTTGTGGGTACCTAGCTAAATAAGCCTTTATGTAGCCATTGCCTACTTGCTGATGGAAACAAGAATGAAGCAGCTATTGATCCTTGGTCAACTTCATCCTCCCCTATCTTTCTGCTCCATGCTTTATTGTACTTTGATTGTGAAGAGGTGACTTTTCCTTCTCTGTTTCTGACTTGACTTTACCAGAAAATTATTGGTCTATAAACTCAGTGAAATTTTTCAAGGCATTTTAAGGAAATGCACGGATGTTCCAGGTGGCTATAATTATTTTTTCTTGGAATATTCAAAGGATACAAAGGCAAAACATGACCTAACATGTTTGAAATTAACTGATTTATTATACTGCAGAATTCTTGTTTCTGTTAAGTGCCCAGGCTTTCCAATCAGGTATCTATCATGTATAGATAGGTTCATTGGAAAGGCTGAATTAGGCAATCAAATTCCTTTAGCAATGCCTTAGTAAGAACAAAATAAAATCTCTGCTGCATAAAATAAAGTTTTTTTGAAAACACACGAAGGCAGTTATCTCTCCCTTTCTGTTAATTGCCTCCTACCTCTGGACATGGAATTTGTCTAATATTTTAAAATCACTAGAACTAGAGTTGTTACCACCTCTTGTAGTAATTTCCATCAGTGCAAAATTCCTTTTCTTAGTTTGTTCTGAACCATTCTGTCATTTTTATTTAGTGACCTGAATTTCTTGTCAATTGATGTATGTACCATCTATAGAAGAATGAAAATATGCGTTGAGTGGATAGGTACATGATTCTTGATACCCTGGGTAGTGGGGCTCAAACTTACAAGGTGTATAAGGTTTTCCTTTTTATTGCAGAGTTTCTGACATTAGGGCTGTGTTCTGTCAAGCGGAAGCGAGAGAGCTATCTCCTGGAAACCCTGACTTCCATCTTTAAGCAATCTTCTCAAGAAGAACTGAAGGAAATGGTGGTAGTGGTACATTTAACAGATCCAGACCAGGAGTGGAATTCTCAAATGGTGCAGCAAATTGCCACGAGGTTTCCTGCTCAACTCCTTCAGAGATACCTAGTGGTTATCCACACCCCTCTTGAGTATTACCCTCCCTTGGAAGGCCTAAAAAGGAATTTTAATGATGCTGAGGATCGTGTACGCTTTCGATCAAAACAGAATGTTGATTATGCTTACCTTGTGAATTTTGCAGCCAACCTCTCCACCTACTACCTCATGATTGAGGATGATGTCCATTGCTCCAAATACTTCTTCACAGTAATCAGAAGAAATCTGGCATCCCAGAAGGGCACCTCTTGGGTCACTCTGGAGTTTTCCAAACTTGGTTACATTGCCAAGCTCTACCACTCTAGTGACCTCCCCCGGCTAGCTCGGTTCCTCATGCTCTTTTACCAAGAGATGCCTTGCGATTGGCTTTTTGTGCATTTCCGTCTCCTGCTTACGCAAAAGGAGGAAATTCGTTTCAAGCCATCCCTCTTCCAGCACATTGGCCGCTACTCCTCCTTCCAGGGCACGCTAAACAGGCTGAAAGATGAAGACTTTGAAGAGGATCTCTCTGAACTCCCTGACAATCCCCCAGCAGATATAGTAACAGATATTGTAACATTTAAGAATTATAAACCCAGTAAGGCTTATAGTAGTGTGGAAGGCTACTTCTGGGGCAAGGCCCCTTCTGCTGGCAACTCCTTTACAGTTATCTTTAAGCAAGCTGTCTCCATCTTCCGTATCCAGATCCATACAGGCTCTCAGCAACACCCGGAAAGCTATCTCCAGGAAGGACTTGTGGCACTGGGCACTCAGAAATTGCATACATGGAGACCAGGTTGTACCAACTATATCCCCATTGGGTACTTTGACCAAGGAAACTTTGATAAGCAGAACCTAGAGAGTAGTACATCCTCTGACCCTGAGTGTGTGCACATTGTGGTAACTAAGAATCAGAGTGAGTCGCTAATCATAAATAGCATAAGCATCTGGATAAAGCCTAAACCCTGACCATGTGACTGATCAGGATCCCTCACAGTATATGACCATTGCTCGTGGATAGATCCTTTCTGGATATAAGAATCCAACATGCAGTGGAAAAAGCCAGTTCTGTGTTCTCAGTCACTGTGATGAGATGTTTGTGATCTGTCCATCTATTCTTAGAGTATAAGAGCCCACCAAGAATGTTCTTCAAAAATGGCTACAATTTGCATTATCTTCTGCTTGTCAGGGACCCTCCTTCCCCAGTTGGTGTTATGCAGAGTGCAGCTATAATCACAGTTCATGCCAAAAATATACACCAGCGTTAGAGAGATTTAAAGAATGCAATGTCCTTA